TATAAAAGTAAAGAACAATGAAACTCTACGATTTCAAGTTAAATCTTGCGTACCAAAATTTTTACAAGTCGCCAGTAAAATAGTAGTTTCCTCGAGACATAGAATGACGGTCGTTTCCAAAAGTTGGCGACAGTTGTAAGGAACTCCCGGGCAAGAGGGCGGGCGATTGCGAAACGACGGTAACGGAGTTAGACAATCTCCGAGCAAACGATAATTTGACTCGACGGAATAAGTGCCCGGGACAACTTCGAGATTCATCGCGCACACGAATGAACCCTCTCTTTATCTCTTTCTCTCTCTTTCTCTTTGCCGTTTTGCACGACATCACGGTCGAGCAGTCAAGCTTCCGGGCTTCCTGACACTATCCCGTTGTTTACGATGTACTCGCGCGATCCTCGATTATCTACGTCGCTGAGAATTAGTCGCTCGCCGCCGGCTCGAATTTATTCAGAGGCGCTTCCTCGGAGGAAGCTCGCACGTCCCGACTCGTGTTCATCGAGCTCTAAGAGAAGAGGGTAGAGGGTTATAGAGTCTCTCGACGGCTTAACAAAGTCACAAGGCAACGAACCGCTATTCCGTGCCGCGGAGCACAAGGGACGGAGATAGCTTATGGATCATGAGAGTGACAGACTGTTCTCACAGCAATGATCTTGGAACGAAGATATCGCGATTAAATATTTGGAGGCTTTTGATCCGGATAGAATATACTTACTCCGTCCCGAAGAATCTCAAATCTTTTACGAATTTGCGTCAATTGATTTGGAATCAAAAAGATTTTCCTTAGCTAAAGTATTTATTATTAGTTACAAATAGATAAGATTTAGTTATTTGCTTTATTTTAAATACATTAGATATCATCTTTTGCGATTTCAATTTCATATTTAATTATTTGCGAGATATATTTGAATGCATGACAGCGCATAATTTTTAATATAATTTTTAATAATTTTTAAACTGTGGAGAAAAATACACGCACATTCTTTCAAATGATCGCTCGATTAGATTTTGAAGTTTACTTAAAGTAAAAAATATCAATGTAATTGGCAAGATAAGTGCTTACAGAGTGCAGTTCAATTAAACTTGTTACATTTTCTAGATAAGCGATTTAGTTTGTGAATGCTATCGTCAACTGCCGCTGAATATCTCGAGATAAAGGTGAATTTCGCCGGAAGGGGCAATAAGTAAAATGTAGATTCTGATTGCGCCTCGCTCCGGGGAAAACTGGTGACGATTGTCATCCGGATCGAAGGCCGAGGGAAAAGCGCACAATAGAAACGCTCGAGTCATTTGCGACGCGACGTATTGAAGAGGAGCTGTTACTTCGGAGAGATCCGAACGAAGGAACGGGGATTCGTTCGCGAGCCGTACGTTACGAAAAAACATTATCGATACCTCTCGCCTCGTTCGGAGATTCTTACAGGCTAATCCGTTTTCCAAGGGAAAATCAATTGTATGGATCGTTACGCGCGATGACAACCGAATAAAGATTGTTCTTTATTTACTTCTCGAAGATCTTGAATGAGAAAAAGAAAGATGGACTTTTTGGAAGAAGTCGATGAAATTGCTTTGTCGAGCTTAAAACTCTAATTAAGTAAAATGTATATTTTATTTTCAAAATTCTTTTTCTTTCTCTTGCTCTCTCTCTCTCTCTCTCTCTCTCTCTTCCTTTGCTTTTATTCGCTTTGTAGTATAATTCATTCTAAGATATGTAATGTTCACTTTGGATTATTTAAATGGAAAAGAAGAGTAAATATTTAAAACAATGTATAAAATAAAATAGTTTCTGCTTAAAGAGATGTAACCACAAGAAGCAATTGCTTGTAATGCAGGACAGGGAAAAAGAAGGAAAAAGTGTACAAGGATCACAATTCGTACGCGAAACTCACAACTAGTAGAGAGGAAATGCATGTAAACTGACATAGACGCAAGATGGATGAGGGAAACTGTGATATAACGTTGATGTTCAACCCAATTATCCACAGAGAGTGTCCAAAGACCACTATCTCGTCCGGAGTAACGGGATAAACTTGGATTCAACTTCGCTCAAATCGAAATAGCTAGCGATATTTTATGGCCATTACACTGAACAAAGGAGCGCTCTACAACCATCAAAACTTGGATTTGAATGTAATTTGGGAAAAGCGAAGCTCGAATAATGCTTTGTTGCGTGAATATTGCATGCCATTTTATACTTCAAAAATAAAATCAAAATTAATTTACACACTAAAGATAATTATTATTAGTATAATTATATTTTAAAATTAAAATAATTAATTTACTTATAATTAATTTACATTTTTATTAAGATAAACTACAATCTCTTATATTTTGTTGTGCAATTATGTACAAAGAGAAACAACATAAATTTAGAAACTCTCTTCGTTCCTATGGAATAAATTAAGTAACATATTTCTACCGTTTAAATCAGTCAATCTTTACATTCCGTCCCGAGCTATTCTCTCAAAGTCAATCCAAAACTTTTCTTTGCTACAGTTCCTTCTGTTAACGCATATAAAATTCATCTTAAACTTACTCGGTGTTTCACCAGTTTAAAGACATTTTCAGTTCCGAGATACTATAAAAAAAAAAAAAAAAAAAAAAAAAGCCAAACTTAAACATAAATTTCTTTATTATCATCGCTCACATCTCGGAAGAATGATATTTCGACTAAAATGCAAAATATAAAAAAGTTATTACGTTCTAAAGATATACTTTTATGAGAATATATTCATATACATATAATGCATTAAATGTGGAAAGAAGGAAATTAAATCATTTCCTCAATTCATTTATTAAATATTTATGAAGAATAATAAATCTTTATAAACCTCAAACTTCAATTTAATTAATTTTTAATTATATTATTGAACCTGTGTGTGTTTAGATTCAGAAAACCACGTCAAGCGATCGAAAGGAAAAGCGAAAGAGGAAATCGAAAGGGGAAGGAAGCACGTGAATCGGGTCGCACCGAGAAAGATATCCGATAGATAGAGAGATAGAAAAAAAAAAACCTGGATACACATACCTGTTGAGGCGCAAGATGGATGGAGAGGCTGCTTACGATGGTGACTTCCAGCACGACCCGCTCGGAACCGGCGGTATTGTTCGCGTGGCAGACGTATCTGCCGGCATCCTCGACACGGGCCGGCTGTAGCACCAGCACGCCAGCCCGCGCGTGTATCCTCTCCGAATTGAAGACCATCGTCGTGCCCGACACGGACTCGCGGAACCAGAGATACGTCGGCGGCGGGTTACCCTGCGAGATGCACAATAGCACGATCGTCTCGCCGGTGCGGATCGGTGCGGGATTCATTCGTTCGTTGAATCGCGGCGGTGACGAGTTGCGATGTTCTGAAGCAGAGAGATTCGGAATGAAAAAAAAAAAAAAAAAAAAATTACACTTTGTAACGCGATAAATTTTTATAAACCTTTTTCTCTTAATTAAAATCATGTGACAATTCTTTTGAGCTATTTTTCAGCATACATAGATATTTTTTATTGCAAACTTATATATGGTATGTTTTATTTTAATTATCCTAAGTTATTATTTACGATGATGACCGACGGACGAGCTTCAACAAACTTCTTGAAACTAATTTCCTATATAATTATAAGACTTCTTATTGTTATATTAATTATGACGACGAGAATGCACGTTCGAAAACTTGTGAAATTGTTCAAATTATTTTGTGAGTTAATTTATAAATTAATTCGAGAGATAATTAATTTTATTTAAATATTATATAATAATGTAACGTTGGAACTATGCTGGAATATTAGCAATTCATCTGTTTATAGCTGTGAAGATTTTATAAGATTGAAATAGCACTTTTTTATAATTTTTAAGTATAGTTACGCACCCACATAAAATCATCAAATTACATAAATGTTATATATGCTATACGTATATAGATAAATAGATAATTGAATATTTCTAAAATTTTATTGCATTATTATGCGCGAATATGTGTCTGCTATTATATCTCTCTCAACGATATGTGTAATAAAATTTTAGGAATGACGGGTTATTGATCGCACGTTCATTATAAATGTATATGAACTAACAATTGCATTTGCCTAATGAAATTCAACAAATGCAAATTATCAAGCATTAAATTATTAATCAACGAATATGTTTGCAACGTATTTGTCGTGTTCCATATCTTAGAAATGTGGCGTCGGATTTAAACTTTTAAAGATGCATTTCTCTCATTAATTTTGGCAGTCTAAACGATCTCGGAATATTTTACGATATATATGTCTTCGTGCTGGGAAGTGTCGTTAATTGTAAGTAAGAAATCTCCATGAAAAGTTGACTGAGCAGACAACGGACTCCGCTTTAACTTTTTAATGTACATAATGCAAAAATCGTCCAACATTATTCCACATTTTCCGAAACGCAAAACTTTATAATGGAATCTTCATATATTCGATATTTTCTGTCGCTATTAATTTCGGGATATTTTAACATTATTTCAACGTTGGGAATTTTCAAAGGTATTTTGATCAAATATTTGCTTTATATCATGGTATTGCATTTATTTTTATAGTAAAGGGAATTTTAGAAAATTTATCTTGGTAAAATATGTGAAATTTATAATTAAAGCGTCCGGACAAGAGGAACAAAAAAAAAAAAAATTACATAATAACTAATACTCGACATAATATAACAGAAAAAAAAAAAAAAAAAAAAAAAAAAAAAAAAAAAATACCAATTAAAATACTATGATGGAAAAATATCGATCCAAACTATTATATCATTTATCTCTCCCTTCAATCAATGATATCAGTCATTCTCAACGATTGCTAGCACCGTTTAATAAAGCCGCGATACAATTCGATATCCGAAAATCCGGCGCGCTCTCCAAAAATTGTAGAAAAAGAGAGAGAGAGAGAGAGAGAGAGGAACGCGTTCGGACGTGAATATAAATCTCCATTTCACGTGCAGCAACAGCATGCCCGCGTGATACTCGGCAAAATCCGCGTGTAAATTTTAGAGCAAGCACGCAGTTTTATCGCGGATAATAGAATCAATAAACTCGAGCTTCGGGTTCAGTCACATCGATAAAAACGTCGGAAGCAATTCTATCCGGCCGCGAAGGGGTTGGAATTTGCCGTTGTCCCGAACGAGGAGAGCGGTAACGATGACGACGACGACGACGATGACGACGACGAGGACGATGAGCGTCCAATTTCCCGGCCGGGACGGGTTTGGTATATAGAGTCTGTCGAATAACGGGCATTTTATTTCTTCTTTCAGCAACGATTAAGCATTTCTCTCTGCTCCGCGACGGAGATGTTTGCCTCTGGACCGATCTCGGACAGAGCGACGCCGTGGCCTTTTACGACCGCGCGCTATTTTATAATGGCGCTTTGTTCCTGGTCGCGGCGTTATTATTGTAATTTAAGCTGATGGCGTATTGATCGTCGCGATGAGGCCATCTCGCTCCCGCCCTCGCGACTCGTCTCGCTCGATCTTGCACCCCTCCGTCTTTCTCATTCTCTCTATCTCTCTCTGTCTTTCTCCCTCGTCCTCCCTTTGGTACACACACCCTCTCCAATCCGACGTCTCCTTCTCTCTCTCTCTCTCTCTCATTCGTAGCTCTCTCGCTCTATCTCGCTCTCGCGTCCTCTCTATAGTACTGTGCAATTCCAGTTGCCATATTCCAGCACAACGCTACCGTCACCACACCCTTGTTCATATCCTCGTTCGGCGCACCGTCTCTCGTCCCGCGCATATGCACGTCGAAAAGTTTTTACGCCATTTACATCCCGACTTACGCCCCTCGACGTCAACGTCGTCGTCGCTGTCGCCGGCGTCGTCGTCGCTTGTCGAGCAAACAAAGAAAAAAGAAAAAAAAAAATACGGCCTCGGGGCGCGCTGTTGCGAGTGTCGCAATTGCATTTTGCTGCACGCGCCGGTGAAAGTTCGCCGACGAAAATCCTGTCGTCGTGCGAGAGTGCCAGTATTTCGCGGAAAGTATTTTTCTCGCGCTAGCATATATTTTATTATTCTTACACACACGGTACGGTAATCTCTCTCATACCAAGTACGCTGTATGTGTTTCGCCGTGATAATGGCAGGTAAATAGAACCTGGCGTATAATTAACATATTTTATATTTTTCACATATGCATTTCCCTTTTTGACACGAATCCTCCACGTTTTGCGCTCGATCCGCAAATTTTTAACGGGACGGGAAGTTAGAAAAACGATCTTTTTCGGAATACTCGACGTGCCGACGTATCGCACCAGCTGGTGCATACGCGTCATACACCGAGAACTTTTGTATTATATCACGTGCATGCACGTTTCCTTACGTTTCAACGTCACTATGCCCGTTGACGTAGGATAGAAAGCATGCTGTCGCGATATGAATTGGAGAGTTTAAAAGTAGATTTTATATACATAAAACTCTGAAAGAGAGATACAATTCATCAAAAAACTCTAGTTAAAAGACTACGTGCCCTATCATATACACCTACATATGTAAATATCACTGAATCACGCAGATTTTTTTAACAACGAATTGTAATTTCTTTCTTTTATCCTGTGTCTGCAAAATAATTAATTATAATTAATATAATTAATTAATTATAATTAATAATAATTTCAATTTGATAGTTAAATAGAAACGTCAATCAAATTAAGAATAATACGATATATGTATAATAAATATAATTATACACTATTACATTTATATAATATCACAAATATAATTGTTATAAATATTGTATAATTGTTAAATTTTATGTAATATGCGGTAAAATTGCAAACTTTTGCAATGAAAATTGACATTCAATGATAAAAGAGAGAGAGAAAGAGAGACAGAGAGAACAAAAAAAAAAGAGAAGAAGAAAGCTATCTAGAAAGTTTAATTAATAATCAAAAATAAGTATTATAAATTTTCAAATTGCAGGAATACCCCATAATATAATAAAATTTTAGGCAAAAGAGAGAACACTTTTCTCGCTTATAATATTTATTTCTAAAATAAAGAATTCACGTTTTTCATATTTTTTGATTATATCGAAAGATAATGCGCCATTCAATGTAAATTTTTCAGGAAGCTTTGGATAAATAATGCAATTCATTATTCCCATACGTTGGGACAACAGAATAGATGTGCATGAAAACACGATTATGAAGCAAATTCCGAAGTCTGGGATGGTGCATCGCTCCGAGCGCTATTCCGACGGTTAAACTACGGTTCAAACAAACATCTTGGTATTCTTTGAGCCGTCATCTATTGATTATGCAACGCGAAATCGAGTTTCGAGCTCCTTTTTTAACCGACGCGAAAAGGTAGAACCCGCGCGGGAGGATGAAAGAGCGGAGGGTGAAAATGGAGAGAAACCGCGCGGAAAACGGTTAGTAATTCCCGTGCTCTCTCTCCCGATGTCCAATTAAATCTCTCGTGCTGGCGACTCCAATTAAGACTCTATTAAATATACACCCGTCGCGCGTGTATCGTCGTCAAAGCGAGATTCAAATGGCGCCGGTCGTTTTTTCTTTCTCGCGCCCGTACATATTTGCTCCGAACAAACGCGATCTCGTCTCGTAATAAAGAAGACGCTAATTATCCGTACGAGATCTTTTATCGCGAATTAAGAAACATACTTATCGTTCCATCGCGTCTTTTCTACCGCAACTGTTTCGATTGTTTTCCCTATCGATATTGTTTTATGGCTGATCGACGATAAATTTAACCGTAAACAATTTTAATAATTAATTTTGAATAAATCCAGATTTCTCTACGAATTTTAATGCCAATAAGGATAAAATTATAAAGTTAAAAAGAGTGATTGTAAATGATTTTTCGGTGATGTCAAATTTGAAAGTGCTAAAGAAAATCAAACTCTATATTCGCTAAAGCTTTGAAGCTTAAGACGAGTTTAATCATTTATGCAAATAAGGGACACTTTCGAGGAATTAATTGCGTTTGCATTATATTGGCATCCATATTATCATTAAAGTCCCGGTTGCAGTCCACGGTCGATGGTACGCATATATAATCTAATGTCATCCGCTGATTGCTTCGGAATTCGGGTCACGATGCAATACCCGTCGCGTGCAATTTGCGCCCGAAGACGCGCAATCACTCCCACTCGTGCGACATTACTCGAGTTTATATATATATATATTAAAATTCAAAGCAAAATTATACTTGCATCATACTTCCGAACCGAGTTTAAACGTTCGACGACGATTTTTTCGTCGTTATGCTGTGTTTGCATATGTTAACGCATAATTTACAGTTGAATCATCAATTCCGTTAACGATTTACAGCCGTAAAAAAATATCGTTGCGCTCAAAACTCGCGCGGTTGAACGCCGGCAAAGCCATACATT